AGAGACTGAATATTAAATCTCCAATATATTCCGAATATATTGGAGATTTAATATTCAGTCTCTGAATTATTAAATAATTCAGAGACTGAATATTAAATCGCCAATATATTCAAATAATTCAGAGACTGAATATTAATCATTAATATATTCAAACAAATGGACACAGCAAACGTAAATTATAAAACAGAAAGAATGTCTAGCTAGCATGTCTTACAAACCTGTATCTTCAACACAAAGATTCGAAACTCTATAACGCGAGCGCTTTCGAAAGGTGGATCTTTCTTATTCTTTTCTAGTTTCTTCCTCTAACATCACAAACCTGTATCTTCAACAGACGTGCATCTCTAACTAGTAACTTACTGACACAAAAAGTCAGTTGTCAAGCTGACCTTAATAAACTAACCGACTCTACAAGAGAGTTTCTGGTTGCTCGTCAGGAAATCCTTCTTCAAGATGTAACCACCAGTTATTTATCCGCTTGTGAGTATATTATACATCATGATACATCTTTATATGTAAAAACAAATGTTCTAACCTGTCCTATCTGAAGTACAACAGATTCATTGGTGGAGCTACACATAAAGCTGAAGAAGTTTTCAATAGAGACGTCAGAAAATGTTCTATCTTGACACTGTTTTAAAATTGACAGCTCCTAGGAGAAAAACAAAACACACTTTAATTTTCAAGATTCATTGAACTAAGATCTGGATATATCATATTTACGAGTAGTTTTCTACGTGAGGAATTTAAAAAGTTTAAAATATTAGAAAAAAAAGAAGTATTCTAACTGATATAAGAATTGTTGAAATATATTTAAGTAAAGAACATCCCTAAGTATCTAAAATGGAAAGTTCCAAACAGTATTTATTGATAGCAGTACATTATAGAAGTAAACATATTTTGAGTTAGAAATATAATTTGCGTCATGTGTTTATATTTATGATTCAAACAAATAACATCAACAGTTTGGTAACATTAAACCTCACAGATTTATTTGAATTACAATGTTTGATCAAATTATATATATATATATACAGTACATAGGTTTACCTAATCACATTTACTCCATTGTTACACTAAAAACCTGGAAAGAAACGGTTAAATCTCCGAAAGATGTGGTTAGTGCAAATGCATTATTACAACATATCTATAAACAACCTAAATCAACAAAAGATTTCTAAAGAGGTATCAGTTTGGAGTCCAGTGGACTATCTAATTGAACAGAAGATTCCTAAAGAGGTGTCAGTTTGAAGCATCAGTAGACAACCTAAATCAATATAAGGTTTTTAATGAGGTATCAGTTTCAGCTCCAGTAGACAACCAAATCTAAAAAAAAAGCACCAGAGAGTTACCAGTTTCAGCTTCAGTCACCATGAACGTCAAATGTGTGCCCTGGTGGAACAGTATAATGGCAGGTAAAAGATGAAAGATCCAAGAATTACCAATAATTCACATTATCTAGAATGAATCCACGTTGACAAAAATGAATTAATATGGATTAGAACATAGTGACAACAGGGAACGAGACAATCCATTCTAGTCTTGTTTGAAACATGGTGTTTTCATCATTTTTAGACACCCTGTATTATGGCACAAAAGTTACTTTTAAAGCTCGCAAGACCATATATTTACTAATTTAATTCAACGAATTTTAAGTCATTCTAGTATATTTCATCACGAACTACTAGTCCTTCCGAGCCTTCCAATATTTATTATATAAATATATTTCGACGTCAATAATTTGAGAGTTTATTTTCATCAATAACAAAATGGACGAAAACACAACCGCCAGTCACGTGATTTGTAAACATGTATCTGATTGGCGGTTGTGTTTTCAAACAAACAGTTTAATCCAAATACAAAAATAAAAGGATAAAAACGCAACAGACCAATAAGTATGTGACTGAAAAACAAACAATCCCCTCCCCCCCCCCACTACCTTTCGTTTAATGCTATTACTTCCATCCACCTTATGGCAATTATTTTTAACTTAAATATTTTATATAATAGCCAAATGTCCTCCGGTGGGACATAGATAAGTTTGCGGAATTACAACGCTAAAATCCGTGGTTCGATTCCCCGAGGTGGACACAGCACATAGCATATTGTACCATTGCTGTAACCCAAACAAACAAATACTAGCCAATCTCTAAAGTCGCTCCAGAATGGCATCGTCATCAGATGGCGTGCACATATCCATAAACGGGTGTTTGTTATTAAATGTTATTTATATTCGTTTTCCGAAGCTGTAAACACAGTTACTTGTAGGTGTGACTAACTGGTTTTGTGCGTATGTGTTTCGGATATTTGCGCCAAGCTACACAAGGGTTGTCTCTACTAGCCTTCCCAGTTTTTAACTCATAGGCTAGAGAAACGCAGCTAGTCAACAGTACCCACCGCTAATTATTAGGCTACTCTAATCGAATAATGAGATTTTACTGTCACTCTTATAACACACTCCCGCTACCACAAAGTGCGAAGCGCAATTTTGAGGCAATCGGACATGAACCAGGGACTTTCGGATTCACAGCTAACCACTAGGTCACGTCCTGACCAACTACTTGTTAAAAATTCCTTAATGTTACAAGGCAACAGTTCTTTGGAGAAATATTCGACAGTTTATACCACATGATTCTATAAGCCTTAAGCCTCCTTCTTTTAAAACTCGTTACGATTTTCTGATCTCTATTATACGATTTTCATCGGTAGATGGCAGCAATTGGAGACTGACTGACCGCTAGGGTCCTTCAGACGACCTCTTCAAAAAAATTATTGGTTCAAGGAAATATCAGACTTCAGTAGGAAACTACATAATAAAGCTCTGATTATAATATAATATTCGCGAACATTGGAGCATTTAATCATCATAGCTCCGGTGAATAAAAACATGCGTTTATGTCAGTTACTTGTGTATTTCGAATCTCATACACTGTCACGAGAGTGTTTTATTGTCTGATTATATATGTTCAGACTAAATGATCATACTCAGGTATTTTCTGAAATAGCTCATGATAATGAAAGTTGATTATATTTCTTGTTACTGATTTTATCTGACTCAGTTCTGAATGTGTTTTGTTTTATGTAATTACGATACTTCCTGGAAGTCAAATATATATATATTGTTAGATGTTGATATAAAACAAAAGGTGGAAATGACCCGAGTTCCATATTTGGTTTCATTTCATAAAAAATAAAAGACGATTATAACGAAAGAAAATCTAGAACGGTGTTCAAATTAGCAAACACTTTCATGTCAGTAAAACACAGTACTCAGACCTCGCTCTGAGTACTGTGTTTTACTGACATAAAACTGTTAGCTAATTTTAACATCCATTAAAATTAGCTAACAGTTTTATGTCAGTAAAACAATTTACATACAGCCTAAGGAGAAGACTGTGCTATGTTTGATTTTGTCTCCTATGTGAGGTAAGAACTGACATAAAACTGTTAACTAATTTTAACATCTCTCCGAGTACTGTGTTTTACTGACATAAAACTGTTAGCTAATTTTAACATCTCTCCGAGTACTGTGTTTTAGTGACATAAAACTGTTAGCTAATTTTAACATCGCTCTGAGTACTGCTCCTATGTGAGGTAAGAACTATACAAAATCAAACATAACACAGTTTTCTCCTGAGGCTGTATGTAATATTCGTAGGAGCCAAACTACATTCCTACCCTGAAATAGCTGGTTCACATAAAATATTATGCTGATCCATACAATTTACTTTGATATGGTTTTCTATTGTACGATACTGTAAATTATTTACTGGATTACCTAAACGCACTGAACTTGTGGAAAAGTATGGTTGATTACATGTTTATTTAGAACTGTAAATGTCTTGTTTTTTTATAGCAATTCCATTGACCTTCATAAACATTCGGCCGTACCAAAGACAAACATACTAACGGAAGTATCTTAACTCACGTTGCACAAAGAAGTTACGTACATACAGTTCTATTAAAAGCTTCTAGGCATATAATATTCCAAAGAGAGCGCTACACTTATTTGATAACTTGAAATTAGATTCGTTAGAGTTTCAGACAAATGATGAAATCTTGGAAATAAAAATAATTTATTTACTACCCTGTATACAAAGGTAAAAAACCATCTGTGCGTTTTTTATAGTTAAATAACAAATATTAATTCAATATTCTGAAGATTTAAGAAAAAACGTGGAAAAATAATTATAAAAACATGCAGCACGTGCATGTGTTGTAGAATAACATACGTACAAAGCACCATCTAATTGTTTTTTTTTGTCTCCAAACTTTGATATTCTCTTTTCACTATAGAGGGCGTTTTTGAGTAATAGTTTCGAGAAGAGAATATGTAAATAGGAGAAACGTGAGGGGCAAGGAGGTATTGCGTGAATACTGTACAAGTTGGGTAGGATTTTAGAAGTTTAGTAAGAAACACTTGTATAAGGTTATACAGGTTCCTTGTAAAACACATATTTTCTGTAGCTTTCTGTTTCATCAACCATACTGTTAGTGTGAAAGTGCTTTGCAGTCACTATGAGATAAACCTATACACTGGATAGGTGAAATGAAGAAAGAGTGTCGTTGGCCATTATTCAGTTCTACACATTATATAGCTGTACAATAGCAGATATAATAAATAAATTTAACATTCCGAAATTTGTTTAATCCAGTGTATAGGTTTTTCTCATAGTGACTGCAAAGCACTTTCACACTAACAGTATGGTTGATGAAACAGAAAGCTACAGGAAATATGTGTTTTATTGTCACAGCC